TATCAAAATGTCTCATTAATCATCCTTGAAGAAGGAATCACAAATATAAAAAAAATATGGGAAGAAGGAAAGTAACACAAGGAACAGAAATCAAATTTTAAATCACTGAACCTGCTCATACAAGAATGGATTAGTGATGCAATTCATCTTTGAGTAGTTCCATTCACGCAATCCAATTCTAAATGCCCTAATGTCAGGTAAGCTCCATCTACGAAGATCTGCATCATCATTATACCTTAGAACCGTTTGAATGCGGTCTTTTGGTCTTCTAGGTTAAATAAACTAGCACCCTCCACCTTCTTTTTGTCCATAAAACAAATATCACTTGGCATTTATCATTACTAAATCTCTAATCCTATTGTACGTAAAAGCAAATAAATAAGATAATCAGACTACTACTTACATCAGGAAACTTCATATCTGCAAGCTTGCGAGAAAAATACTCATATATAGCGATAGAACTACACTTCTCAAGATTAACATTAAATGTGACTCCCTGAGGAATATCTTCAGAAGACTTAAAGTTGCCCAAGTACTGATTTTCGGTGATCAAATCCTATTACCCTATCAAACAATTGTTATATCATCCAGTTAAACATATTGATTTAACAGTTATCACAAAATCTAATTGGCAAATGAATGGACAATATAGAAGTGTGACCTCAACTTTTTGTTGTTAAGATCTAGTTTTATCTACATTCTAATCAAGATCTACATCAATTAACTGATTAAATTAGAAGATTATTTTTAATTTTTTATTTATTAAAGATTGCACTCACTGTCTCAAATTAATACAAATATTTATTGTGGGCTTGATTTTCAGCAATAGAATTATTGTCAACACTTAAGAAGGAAAAGATGCAAACTTCTTGAATTCTTTTTCTTGTTAACGGTACCAAATAAACAAGGCCTTGGATTGTTTTCATTATTTTGTACTTCAGATTGCCCCGAAGTGTTATATTCTAGCCATTGAATTGAATGGTTGGCATTTATTATTAAGGT